CCGGCGGGGCCCTGCCGTGCCGCCGAACGGTGCCGCGGGTTGGGTTGGTTTGGGGCTTTTTCTTTTTTAAAAAAGGGTTGTGCTCTGGGTGACTTTTCCTGAGCGTTTTATAACGGGTGCGATGTTAGAAGGCGTTATCTCTAAATGTTCGATACCGGTAGAAATTTTTAGTGTGGAAACCATATGTCTTTAATTTGCAGGTACTGTTAGGCTATGGAGGCCGTAATGGAACTAGAAATGCGATAAAACAGTGGATGAGGCACAAAATTAAATCTCGGCATCTGGAAGCTTTAAACAGAGTGTCAGTGTATTGAATATATTGGAGGTAGTGGCATTTCAAAGTACCTGGTTATTTCAGTGCCCTGGAGCAGTAAAATGTTTGCGAAATTGAAAAAGAAGATCGCGGAAGAGGCAGCTATCGCTCCCAGACCAGGAGGAGCTGCCAGGATACCCAGATCTGTCAGCAAGGAGTCGATCACCTCCGTGGGAGCAGACTCTGGAGACGACTTTGTAAGTCACAGCCTGCTTTGAGCTTCGATTTCTCGTACAGCACTTCTGTTACGGCTTTACAGACAGCCCCTTTAATCTAGTGTGTGAGCTGAGTACGTTTTGGGGTGTCTTTGTAGGGGTACATCTCAATGCATACATGAATCATTACCTTGAATAAACTTAAATCACAGGATGCTTTGGGTTGGAAGGGACTTAAAACCCATCCAGTCCCACCCCCTGCCCCGGGCAGGGCCACCTTCCACCAGCCCAGGTTGCCCAAAGCCCCGTCCAACCTGGCCTTGAACCCTTCCCGGGAGGGGGCAGCCACAGCTCCTCTGGGCAGCCTGGGCCAGGGCCTCACCCCCCTCACGGGGGAGAATACGGAAGAGAAAATGTTTGTGTGTTAACTGTGGTAGTTACCAGGAGGCTTATATTCCCATGTAAACATGGGTTACAAAGCTATCTTGATACGGAACACTGTTAAACAGATGTAAAATATTGACTAAAGCTGTAGTACCGTGTAAGATACCTATTTGTGAAATTAATTACTGAAGCAGTAGGAAAGCAAGCTGGTTAGCTGTCCTCTTGCTGTGGACCTGCGTTTGCCTCTTGTCATCCAGGTACTCCCCCTGCTCGAGCTGTTGTTTATGTCACTGCCGAGTACGTCTGAGCCGTTCTGTTGCGCTCAGAACTGTCACAGTTCCTCCAATGTCTGGTTTAAACTTTCGTTATAAAGTGTTGCTTAAGCAAGCAGTATAATTCCAGGAGCGTATGGGTTCAGTGAAACCCTGCAATGCTCTGGCACGGCTGTCGTATTTTTGAAAACCTGGATTAAGACAAAACATCACAGCACCCTTGGAGCCAACAGTACCCACTGTCCTGCCGCAAGTCGCTTCGTTGTTCTGTTTTGCTCTCTGCAAAATGGAGAAGTTATTTACACGGTTGAGTTTTAACTCCTGTTTTCTGAAGCTCAGCTGAAATTCCAGTTCTCTTAAGCAGAAAGTTGGAGCCCCTAATGTTTAAATGCATTTTACAGTGGAAATCCATTAGTCTTGTGTATTTATGATTTTTTTTCTCCACTTAACAAATTCTCATGTAGACATTTCATTTACCGTCTTGCGAGTTTAGAGAACGGATGATGATGGTAACTGAATTCTTGAGTAGTTTTCAGAAAACCTCCGAGAATTAGTTGTTTTAGCAATATTAATTTAACTGATTTTAATATTGATTTTTACGAGCGAAAAGCCCCAGAGAGCCTCCTAGGTCAGTTATGCAGTGGATTTGGCATGGACAGGCTGCTGCACTGGGGCTTAAGCCAGCTCGTCCCATGATGAGAGCATCCCTGTTTCTTTTCTGCTTAGTTTTTCAAAAGACTTTTACTTTGACCCATCCTGCACCCTGTACTGCAGAGCCCAGTTTCCCCTTCCTTAGTCGTTCTGTTTTGTCATCTCCTCAGTGACCGTTTTTCAGTTGGAGCTTCCTTTAAAAGCGTGTTTCACGGGACAGGCCAGCGTGGCAGAGCTGACTATTTAAGCCCTTACTGTTTGTCGCCTTCAGCACTTTTTACACATTCTGCTGTGCTAGTACAACATTCCCTTTTATGTGAAAAACTGAAGCATTATTCCTGAGATAGTGTTTATTATCATAGAGTTAATGTATGGCAGGATCCTGTTTTTTCTGAATTTTATAAGTTATGTGAGTGTTGTTTTTCTCCAAGGCTTCTGATGGAAGCAGCTCTAGAGAGGATCTTTCATCCCAGTTGTTCAGAAGAAATGAACAAATAAGGAAACTGGAGGTCAAGCTGTCTGGTAGGTGTCTTGATACATATCAAACCCTATTACTTTAGAACATATTTTCCTTTGAACTTAAGTATTTTAATTTATTTAAAATATGTAGGTTTATGGGGTTTTTTTGAAAATTGGTTTGTAAGAACCCCTTGATTGTCATCTAGGTAGTGTCCAGTATAACTGGGTTTTTTATAAGCATGACTGACTCTTCTGCTGATTTCATGACATATTTAATGTGATTCTTTTGAACAGCTGGGATAGCTTTCTGTCCCCGTGCTTCAAATAGCATCTTTCCCCACTTTCATTTTACTTATTCTGTGCACGCAGTGGTTTGTTTCTCTTGGGGTCTGAGCTTTCTGATGTTGACAGTACCACACTGCTGTCCTTAAAGATGTGAACTTTGAAATGAAGAAAATGCAAAGGCTTCAACATAAAACAGTCTTCAGGCTTTTTTTCTTTCTGAGATGCACCTTGTTCTGTAAAGCTGTAGTAAGGGCTCTGCTCTGGCCCTGCTCTCCATCCCTGTCGTGTGGAGTGGATCAGAACAGGCTGAACTGTTACGCTGCTGCTTCCCAAAGCTCACAGAAGGCCTTGGAAAATAAGGAAAGGTTATAGCCAGCTCAGGATTATTTTAATTTATTATGGAGACTTACCAGGCTCCTATTCAGTCAAGAAAATACAGGATTCAGAGATGATTTCACATTGTGATTTGAAAGGATAAAGTGTTCACCTGTTTGTATAAGGTAAAGTTAAAAGTGCTGGTTGGGGCTTAGTGCTGGAGAGGGCAGCTCTCAGTATTGAGAGACCCGTGCAAGCAGCCTAATCAACAAGGAATTCCTTCTTCCCATTGTACGTAAACTTCTCCAAGGTGTGTGTGTATTCTGCTTTGGGTTTTGGTACCTGCCTGCCCTGTCGGTTCTGCTGGGGGGCGGGGGAGCCGGCCAGCGGGAGGCAGCCTGGGTCGAGGGGGCAGGTGGCTGTGAACTGCCCCCTCCTCGCACCCCAGTGAGAGACACCTTCCCGTAGCAGGGTTAATTAGATTGTTGTTCTTGAGTGAAGTGAAGCTCTGCCGTCCCCGGTACTGCCCCGCTTTGTAACGGGCACACCCAGGCCAGGTCCTCGTGTTTGTACCCACCACTTACCCGAGGGACTGTGTAGAACTATTTGCTTGTGTTCATTGTTGTGGTCTTCCTCAAGTTTTCCTCAGCAGGAATGATTTTCTGATTGAGAAAATCATTGTTGTTTTCCACTCATTATTTTTTCTTTTTTTTCTTTTTTTTTTTTCTAAAAATTCCCTTCCCCAATGTCTGTTCATTCCTGGTCTGTGCCTCTCCCTCCTCACACAAGATTATGCCGATCAGATGCGAAACTTGCAGAAGATAAAAGAGAAGCTTGAAAATGCATTAGAAAAGCATCAGGATTGTACGTACTTCTATTTTTCCTTTTTGATTTTTAAGTTGAAAATTGTTACGGCTGGAAGGAAACAGGTTTGATGTACCGGTGTTTTAATCATTTCCTTTTAAACTGTGCACCTCTCGGTGACGGAGACTTAGAGCACAAGGGTTTTTTCCCTTATTTACGGTTTAAAAAGCAGCAGTAGTGTGTTGGCTGTTGAACAAAGTAGTTGTTTTACTCCTTTTGCCAAATTTGGGGCGAACATGCAGGAGAGACCTTTGTGTTATAATGCAGGAAGGAACAGTGTTTCTGTCTTCTGTTATTTCTGGCCTTTGTCCAACGCGCAAGCGGTGTGAGGTAAGAAGTGGCACAGCGTTAGTGCCGGAGAGTCAAGATGGGGCTAATTACTTGCAGAAGCTGCTCTTTAAAGTTATAAATAACTTATAGAAAATTGAGAAAGCAATTTCGAAAGATGAGGTTTTAATATAACTGGTGGTTCTCTGTTGACAGCCTCCATGAGGAAGTTACAGGAGCAGAATGAAGCTCACCAGGCCAGTCGAGCCAAGATGGCCGAAGGAATGGCTTTGGCCTTAGAAAAAAAGGACCAGGTAAGGGCTTGAAGAACTCGACTTCTGACTGTGGGGGTCTGAGGGCATGACCTTGGTTTAATCAGGTGTGGCCATCAGTTAAAATGGCTGTTCAGCATTGTGTGTGCTGGACATGCCAGCCTTGGGGGGAGAAGGGAGGATGGAGCCCAAGTGCCAGAAGTGGGGTAGGGCTTGTCCTTGTTGGGCTTTTAAACAGAGCCCCAACGATCTCTGACGGGTAAAGCTTCCACTTGTGTTC